AAGGCCTATTAGCCAAAACGGCTATCATATTCGGAATCAGCATGATCGATTACCTATAAGCTACCGCATTTCGTTAGAAAAGCGATTTGACAGTTGGATATGTTCCCTCGTGAGCTGTATTGGTTTGAAAAGAGTGTCAATAGCGGGTATTTCAGAAGTCGCGAATAACTGATGGATGTCATCAGCTTATATAGAACAGTTTATACCGTTATCAAGGTCGACCAAATGGAGATTTGAGGCATATTCGTGAAGGAATTTTATCTATTCTGCAAAAGATAAAATTCCTATTATTCTGATCTGTTTCTGGTGGTGACATCATAGTGCTTGTAATATTTCAAATTTCTCTTTTACTACTATCCGTTTCAAAATACAAGAGCAGTGGCTATTTTTTGAATAACTTTTGATAGAAAGCAGCTAGAAAGCTTCGGTTTTCACCACGCAAAAGAGAAGACTTGGAGACATGTTTCCACAAACAGAATCATTTTCACAAGAGTTTTCTGAAACAGGCTGTTTAGGAGATCTTTGGAAAACCAGATCGTGTGCAAAAAATTTTTCAATAGGATAATGTTGATCTTTTTCGTGGACTGATAGTCGAGGATGTGCTCGTGATGATGGGAGTCACGCGAGACCTAGATTTTCTACTGCTCTGACGTTGTACCGGATTTCCTACGAGTCCCAGGACTGGTACCTAGTGACTCTTCATAGCCTTGAGAGCCAATGGACTATAGATAATCGATCATGCGGACGTTTCTGCAATTGTCAAAAGTATATCTGGTAATGATGTTTTCGAACGAAAGAACGAGTTTAAATTTTGCGATTGAGCGATATGCATTAAAAAAAGTAAACTTATATCCACAAGAATCGTTTCATCATTTGATCGTTGAGCAGTGATAAGACCAAGAAATTGTTTCTGACCAATAATATGAATAAGTGCATCTATATACTTGCAGATTATCTGTTCTGTAGGGAAAAGTATATCCACATGCAACCTTTTCTCTCTAGCCCACAAACAGCATCCAGATACTAAAACAAGAAGGCGTGCAATACAAGTAACGAATTCTTTACTCCATGATTCAACATTCTCACTATGAACAAAAATTATTTCTGAAAATCCATCACAGATATGATGAAGCATTTCATTGGGCGTATAAGTAAATGTTTCAGGTTTCCTCAATAAATAGGAACCTAAAGAAAACGAACATGTATTTATATAGAATTGTTGCTTGGCGGTAAAAATTGACTGTGGTAGTTGTGCTTGTCGAAGTTGGCTTAAATAGAATTTGTATTGATCGGTCATAAGAATGCGACTTGCCATATATTGATTAATGTGGGCAATCAAAGGTGAAATTTCAAATTGAGGATATTCATGTAAGAAATAGACGAGATTCTCGAACCAAAGACTGACTATGATCAGAAATGAATCGTTTTCATCGTCACTTTTTTCAATTAGTCCAAAGATATCATCTATGGGATGAATGCCATCTGGAATAAGAAGACTTGCTTTTGTATCAGCTTCAATGCCGTCATATTGGAGAATCAATGTCTTATTGAATGATGCAAGAGTATGAAAGAATTCGGAATAATTGGGTTCACCGATGCATTGATGAGAATCTTTACTAAGCACTTGCCATGTCCATTGTTCGAGCGTGAGTAATGATTGAAATGATTGTGAAACAAATGGTGTTAATGACTCCGAAGTTTGTTGTTCGAGAAGAAGGATGATTTGATGAAGAACATTCGTCGATGGTGAAGATACTGTAAGTGCAGCAACAAGCTGTTCAAATTTATCTTCCATCTTTGTAACCTATATTTTGCTTCTATGCCTTTTATGCCTTTTTATACTAGATTTTTCTTTCCTTCTTTGACTGACGTACCTACAGTCCAACATCAGATTATATGACATTGATGTCGTTTTTTTTCTGTTCTGTAATCGTCAGTACGAAACGAATTTATCATGTCATTACTCTTTTATCATGTTTTTAACACTTAAAGCGGTTAATGTCAATATTGAACTAGTCATTCACCAATTCACTGTTGAGAACAACAAGTGAATCGGTTAATAGAGGAATAAAATGGATTGCATTGAACTAAACTGTGTTAAAATGGGACCGTTTTGTTGATTTTGAAATACTAAAGATAATTGAAAAAAACGATCAATATTCGAGAACGCATAATAACACATCTGTTTCATCTGTCATGGTTGAAAATGTTGATATCGTTTCCTGTCCTTCTTCGAGCTAGAAAAGAACAGGAGAACATTACCATCATACACGTTTATGATACTTGTAAAAGGCAGCGAGATGGATTAGATAGGTATCAAAAGAACGAGAGAACAGAACAGCAGAGAGAAAAAACAGAAGTTATCGTTGACTTTGCTGTTATAGTTGCGAGTATAACATCATGGCGTTTTTAAAGTCTACGTTCGACGGAGGGTTGTTAGAATACACCAAAAAAGTGTAAAGTACTTTTCTCTACGAAGATGTGGCAGCAGTCTTTTTTCTACTTTTCATCCATTTCATGCTTTTCATATTATTCTACTTTTCAAACTTTTCAACCTATTCTACTTTTTATACTTTTCATTCCTTTCATACTTTTCATGCTTTTCATACTTTTCAAACTTTTCATTCCTTTCATACTTTTCGTACTTTTCATCCCTTTCATACTTTGCTTGGAACAGCTTATTAAGCGGCTCACTCTCATGTAGTATCTCCTCACCCCCACTCGGTCAGTCCGCTACTAGCTTACAGTTACACTATATCAATGTATTCCTGCAGTACATTTCATCTCACACTTTTCTAGTGTATTCTAACAGCTCTGAAAAATCGACTATTTATTCCATAGTACTTTCGTGATCGATCCGTTAGATATTTTCTCTGTTGAATAGAACTTTACTCCTTCGATGATAAAAAGCTGACCGTTGTGGTGAAATATCTTAGGCCATGATGGCGTCTTTAAATATGGGATAGAGCAGCGATGAATCGATCATCTAAAACAGAGAACGAAGAACACATCAAACATTGAAAACACATGACTGAGCAAACAATGACGGTGATAAATCGTTTTAGTGTGACGGAAGGACAGGTAGTACAAGAAATCTCGAAGAGTGAGTTTTATGGAAAACTCTTCTGCAATGGTAGTGCATCATCCGTCCTCACGAATGACGATACACTGCCGAAAGCGATAGCAACTATAGAGAGACACTAATTTACACAAGACCAGAACAAGAATTCGAGTTCTAGAACGTAAACCTAGAATGGAAATCGAACCCACATCTCTCCAGTTACATGTCAGAGGGACAGGTTCAATCATTCCAACAAGTTTATGATCCGAAATCCACATTCCAATGTCTCTTTATAACAGACTTTCTCCTAATTCATCCAAAGAATGATTTTATTCAGTTGATTCACTGTTTACATCTTAAATCTCTTCGATTTCCGACCATCGGATCCGTCTATTTCCTGTTTTTGGATCTCGCCGGAAAGACACTCTTCGCTCGTACAGTACTAAGATAAAGCCTTTTCATAGGTCGGAGAGTCTGAACATATCCATGAGAAACATTTTGTATATGAGCTAATTTGAAAATGACTGAACAATTTTAACAGCAGCTACAGGAAGGAGGAAAAGTATGCATCTCGAGTAAAGTATGCATATCTATCTCACCAGGAATCGAACCCGGGACAGTGGCAGTCACGACCATTGCTCTGACCGCTTAGCTTTTCCGGAAAAACATTAGAAATTTCAGAGAACATCGACGATCACTAGTGTTTTAGAAAGAAAAAATTAGGGATACTTTCGCCAAAAATGAGTGAAAATCAACGTTTTGCCGAAAACATTGAAAAAACTAGTGATTTAATGTTAACATTAGTGGTGATTAGTAATTTGTCTTACACAATCGTCATGACGTTATCTTTACACGAAAGGGTATAAGAAATGATAATACTACATCAACAGAATTGATATATGCGTCTTCTTATTCTTTATAAATGAGTTCATTCTACAAAGAGCACTCGTTGGTTGTTTGTCTTCGACAACTATGGTAAAAATTCCCAGATGAACTCTGGTTACTCATCTATAGTTACTTGCATCGAACTGATGTTCTCTACTCATTTAACAACTTGAACAGTCGTTTTCAACAAATGATAACATCTTACCAATATCAGGTTGGTTTGGACGATGTTTCATGCAAATTATTCAATCGATTTCGTCAATACATTTTACCCGCATATGGTTGCAATATTGGTTCGCTGACAATAAGAAATAGTCAACAATGGAAATTGCTTAGTGAAAATCTTTTTCAGTTAAGGCATCTTCAGTGTTAGACCTTGGCTATAAATGACGTGGATGATGAAAACAAGGCTAATTGTTCTCTGGGACACCTGAAACATTTTGAAGATTTAAGCGACGTTGACACAATGACGTGACACCTTGACACAATCCGACTTTCTCGGTTCCTGTACGACTGTTTCAGTATATTAAACATCAACGAAATCAATTAAGAAAACACTTGTGTGAAAAAAGATATTTATTTAATAACTGAATGCAATCCGACAGTGACAAATGATGAGTTAAATATGTTGGTTGCTGAAGTAAGTCAATTCAATACAAAATCAAAAATCATATTTAGTTTTGATAAATACTAAATAAATAAATATATATGTTTAAATGATAAAAGTGTTGTGACAGTTGATATTGTAATGTACGAAGACATTCGAAAAGCTGAACACTGAACAACTGAAACAGAACAAAATTTTATTTCAGAATTATCAGATATCACCAGTTGAATTAATTCACCATCTTCTGCTGTATTAAACGAATTATTAAAATCCTTAGGATATTCGAAGCGGGCAATAATTCGGTATGCATAATAATGGTAAACAAGTTATATATATAAAACGAAAATTTCGAACAAACTCAAAGTTTAACCTTGGCACGTTTTTGAATAGTAATGAAACGTTGAAAATCATATTTTTATTATAACAGGATCTTTTGATTACAAAGCAATAATATCAAACGGAGGATAACAAATAAATTGAATTTAACGACAACTGAACTAAAAATATTCGTTTTTCTTGATCATCAAAATCTGAGTTCATCTGATATAGATAATATTATTAAATTTAAACTTTTTTATTTTCCAACAAATCGAGCTGGCTCATTACATGTTGGTTGCAATTGAACAGATGTGACAATAATAACAACAACAAGAAAAAAGGAACAATACGTAAAAAAAAGAAAAAGAGAGCAGAGAAAGAAATAATCAGAAGTGTTGTAAAGTTGGAAAAGGAGTTATCTTATCAAAAAGTAAACGCTTTTTCTCTTGCTTCAGGAGTTTTCAGGAATCTGCTGGAGAGTACAGTTCTACTTTGGCGGGAAAAGAAAGGTCGCACATCATTGGATCCGGCGAAAATGTCCTCCATCCTTCAAAAATTTTAAAACAAAAAGATATAGGATTTTAATTTTATATTTTTCGAGAGGGAGCATGTCTTTGTTTTTGAAAAGTAAATGATCCATTGTTACGTCGGTTATTTGAAGTATAGACTGAAACGTTTCTAATAGTTCTGAACGTTATGCTCTATACTTTTCACAAAAAAAGAAAAGTGAGATGATGATTCTCTTTTATATCCGCACTCGCACTCAGGGGGAAGTCACTATATGTCTTTTAGCCAAATCCTCATTCAGTTGTGTGAAACCCAATCGAAAGCGTGAAAAGTCTATTTCCAAAAAACATCGACTGATAAGTTGTTCCATAATTGAATGGTAGATGGCATAAAACTATTCCTGAGTACAAGCAGACCACCATGATGAGACGGTAGCAGCCCTCGTGCTTGGCTGCGCAATGGATAACTTACAAGCGTCTGTTGCGGTAATAAATGTCTAAGGGGTACTTGTTCTTTGTCACTTTGTAGAAAAGGCATAGTCGATAAACATCGAACATGTCATATCTTACAGTATTTGAATTCTCATCGTTTTTCACGTAAAAGGGAGCCCATCCGAGTTCAGAGCAAACTTTTTTGGTATGAAGTGCCTTTCATCGCTCCTAGGATCGCGCGCCCAGCCTCATATTATAAAGTGTTAAGTTTTTTGAAATTTGACTCAGTTGTGCCTAAATAACTGACACTTGTATAGTTGATTTTTCCAAGAGTAAAGGCATTATAAACTAAAGAAAGTGCCTTACGTGACAACGATAATATTATTAAACAACTGAGAACAAAGTATTCCGATAAAAATATTCGTTTAATTCATTTATGCTGAAGAGCTCATTTCAGACGAAGTATGGATTGCAACAGAAGGTACTACATGTCAGTTTGAGTCTATAATGGATTTTAAAATTATACCAGATATCGGTGAAGATCTGTTTGTTGTTGAACAACCATTTCTAGTCCTGGTAGACGAACCAGGTATGGGTAAATTCGTTCTTATCCGTTCCATATTATCCAGAGTCCAAACAGAATCAAATATTACATGGAGGATTTATATCAATTTAATTAATTATGTGAAACTTATTGGGAAATGTAACACTGCCATTGAGTTTCTAAAAAAATGTTGAAGATATAAATAGCTCCATTGGAGAAAACGTTCTGGAGTAGTTTTTTTACCATAAGCCAATGATTATTATGTTCGATGGTATCGATGAAGTATCTGATGTTTTTGTGTATAAGATCATCAATTATATTGAAGAACGTAGTGAAAAATCACTAAAAATTACAGTTTTAACGCGTTCATATAAATTGTCGTTTCTACAATCTAATTTTCGTACAATAACAACAAGCTCAAAAAATAACAGAATTTTTTTGGTATACCATTGAGATGTTGTATGCTTGCTGAAATTTATCGTGATAAAATAGTAGAATATTTGGAACAAACCGATAATGAAAATATCTATGAAACTGTAAGCATTTATGATTTGTATAAAAAATTTACTACAATACAATATCAACGTTATCAAGAGGAAAAATTATGTCATATTCAAGATGGTCTATTTCGTCAATTGATAGACGATCATTTGGAAAACAATTCATTGTTATTTAGATTTATCGCGCTTCAAATAAACAAATGATCTGAATGGTTTCATTTAACATTAGAGCAGTTATTGTTAGAAAATAGTGCAACTATCAATGGTACATGTATTGTTACAATCAATATAGAAAATAGGAGGCTGAATGATATAAAATTTTATCATCAAACATTTGCTAAGTATTATTGTGCAGAATGTTTTCTTGCCATACTCAAAGAAAAATTTGATGACCACAGTGTTTTAAATGACTGTAAACCATTTTTGATCATTGAATTATTTAAAGATCATTTTGAAGTTGTTTATTTATGTATGTATTCATATATTTACTGTTCTGATGCTGAATATGATCCTGTACTAATGTTTAATTGGGAAATTGCACAACAATCTTGGTTAATTAAACCAGATAGAAAAGATATTATTAGATGGGTTTTGTATTATGATGAAACAGCTAAAATATGCGAGAACGAAAATTCGAAAGAATGTCTAAAGTATTATGTGAATATAATAATGAATTTAATCAAACTATTTTTAAAGATATAGATAATTGTCGATTGGTTTGCGCTTTACCGCAAAGGATTCAAGTTTATATGTATTTAAATAACTGTCGTAATTCACAACTGAGCGAAAAAATGAATAAAAATTTTTGTGGTTGTTTCAAACAGGTTTTCCACTCTTACTTACGAGGGAAGTACCCCAACTGATAAATCGCTTTTTGAACGGAACCTAGTGGACTATAGGTAGCCGACGATGCTGATTCTGAATATCACCATGACTGCTGCTGCTAGACCTTCAAAGGCCGGTTTTCTGGAAAACCAGTTTTCGAGAAACTCTAA